TTTAACGCTTCGACGTCACGTTATACGTAAGTGCGGAATTCGTCGCAAAGCGGTTGCAGGTGTTAATTAAGGTAGATCAGGTAGCATTCTTGGGATTGCGTCACATTGTGAAATCGAGGGATTTCCTTCCTATGTAATTCCTCAGTTTTGCGGTTCTTAGTTCGAAGGTTCGCCAGTCGATCGTGCACAAAATGTATTAAATTGGTGCTACTACTTTCTTTGAACATGGCGAGTCGTCTCTGTTCCAGGGTTTGCTAGTCAGAAAGATGTGATTTGTCCTTTATCGTGAAATCTTTGATCTCGTTCCGTATGACTTTTTCACTAAATTCTCTGCCTTCTACTGATGGCATTCGAGTAAATACACCTATATACGTCTAAGACTTCATACATTTTTTCTTCTTCTTCCCTCGACCTGCCAGCGATGATGCGAATGGTGAGAGAGCCCAGCATTAGAGGCTCGAGCTATATGAAAAAATGAGAAGCGAGATTGCAAAGCACAAGTACTTGTACGATTTATGGACTCCTGGTCGACTTTTCGAGTAGACGCCCTTAAGCTGTGATATGCGGTTGGTGTGAACTCACCTTAAAACGAAGACGAAACGTGTTTACAAATTTATCTGCATGGTCTGTTCGTCCAGACCTGAGAGTGTCGGACCACAACCACTGACTGACTCTCAGAAGGGAGCGAGGAGAGCTTAGCTGCAGTGACAGCGCTGACCCGAAAAGGTCGTAGGAGCATCGGTCCTCCCTCCTTTCTTCGCTGCCTCTGGCGGCATGCCTCAGCGTACGCTGGGTTCAGGTCTCCCCCCCCCCCCCTCTCTCTTCTCTTTCCCGCCATTACTCATCCGACCTCGTTGCTCCCTCCAAGCTCCCGCGCGACTGGCATCATCGACGTCTCCCGGCACGTTTCTCTCGGTCGTTTTCAAGAAAACCCCGGTTCTCGTGAATGGATCTAACGAGTGGACCTCGAAAAGCGAAAAAACGCAAGGAGAGGAAGCAGCACTTGAAAGCAATCATTCATCTAAGGAGCCATTGTGTCCCACGCAAGGAGTGCTAAAACGACGCAAGCAAAAAAAGCTTGCCCCAAGAATTTCCTGATTACATTCACGAGGATGAAGGAAGAAAAAACCCTACTCCACCAGATTGAAAATGTTGAATTCGCATCACCCTGTCCGACCGTGCAGGCAACGGCTTCCAAGCGTCCTACGAGGGTTGTCATTTAAATAGTAAGATTTAATTTATTCCAGAGTTACCCTCCATGTCGAAGTCTTGGTGAATCTGCACTTTTTCAACATAAATCCCCCTGTAAAACAAGGCATTTTTCTTGGTGATATCCCAATGCGTCATTTTCTTTATTTTTTTTCAAAAAAGTTGCAGCTCCTTCGTCACGACTGCTAAAGCTCCATCGTGACGAATCAGTGTCCTTTCGGTTTGCTCTTCGGTTTGGGCACCAGCTGCAGCTACAGAGTCCTAGATCACTCCAGAAGGGCACGGGTGAGCATCGTCATGATGCAGGAACCGCGTCTCTTGCAGATCAGGGGCCGTATTCTATATTTTTGAAAGCGAGACTTTCCTATTAGCAAGATGGGATTTGCCCCATTCAAATGTATGGCTGAGGCTGAGCAATTTGCTTGAATTAAGTCTAAGATTTTAATTGAATACTCCCAGGCAATAGAGACCTATAGACTTCTATAGTTTTCAATGCTCTATTGGATTCAATAGACCACTCGTTGCATCTGGATAGGATTCTATGCAGATTAGGGTGTTCGACGGTAAGGGACTGGAACCGCGAGAGCGGGAAGGATTCAACCACGTGGGGCGAATGGATGAAAAGTCAATGGATGAAAAGGCTGGCTCGAAAATCTTAACAACGAGCAAGAAATCATTGTTGCAACAATGGGAGCATGAACTACGAAAATGTGTTTAGGTTGGTCTTGTCGCCTGACGAGTCGCACTGCTTGACGTGACATGTAGTTGCAACAAAAGGCTGAACGTTCTACCTTGGCAGTTTGTTTATACCGGGACCGAAAAACATGTAGGAGCAGAACAGAAATCCAGGAACACTTGAAGAGTAGAGGTGCATCCGGTCGGAGGAGAAAATTATCTGTCCCGCGACTTCCCTTTGCGAGTTTCGGAACTTCTAAACAAAACCGCATCTGGCTCACATAGGAAATATCGTGTTCACGAAGTCTGTCTACTGTCGCTTTTCATTCGTGGAAACTGCATGGATACAAATTGACGATGCGGATTAGGTCGCCCGAGCAGCAGACGAGACGAAAGCGTCTTTATCCGGACATCAGATAAAAAGAGACGTTCGTCCAGTTTTTCGTATCCCAATGTACATATTTATTTTACTGCCCAATCCCATCCGGTGCAGCTCTTCAAAATTGCATCACACAAGATGGATTCTCCGATGCATTATCCCCGTGAGGATTTCCAGCTGTCCACTTGCTTTCACAAGTTCATCTTAAATTCATCGGATATGAGCCTTCTAAAAGGCTCTTCACATTCTATAAATATTCCAGATTACCTTAGTACGAGGTGAAGTCGAAAAAAAAGGCTACCTTTAAAAGGATACAAGGCCAGAGTTAGACTCTAGAGGCGCCCCCCCCCCCTCCCCCCTGACTCATAGCGAATAAAAGTCTAACTCCAGAGTTAGACTTTTATTCATCAATGCATATGGGTGTCTCATGGCGTACGCAATCCAGAAGTATAGGATCGCAGGGAGGCCGGTCTCACCGATTGTATTGCGTCTGATTGCAAGCACAAGCGTGTCTTTCGGTTCCTTTGACTTTTTCAAAGCTGCTCGGTCATCCCAATTCGCAATGTCGATTTGAATCGATGCAGGTTCCATGCATGGAAAAGACAGAAGATATATTTTTCGTAATATGATATGCGATTTGGTTTAGAAATTGCGAAACTTTCGACGGGAGAAAGTCGTGGAACCGACACTTCTCTCCTCGGACAGGTTCTCTCTCGAGAACTCTTCTCTTCAAGTGTTCCATGCTCAATTTCCGCGCTGCTTTTACATGTTTTCGATTCAATATAAACTGCAAACACAGAACGTTTTCTCGTTCAACCTCTTATTGCAGCTAATAAAAATTAACAATTGGATTGAGCTTTTTGGCGGGAAATACGTACTTACATTTCAATTGGCATCTGATTCATAGCCGATTTTTATAGACCCATGATGAGAATTAATGTTTTAAAGATTAGGGTTATAGGATTCATAAAACCTGAAATCTTATCTTCCACTCATCCACATCCTCCCATTTTGGGGAAAAGATCGAGCCGAAAGAGATCCAAAATCAGGAATCACCGGCCGCGGAACCCCCGCATCCTCCTACGTTGATACAGCATACAGTATATACGTTGTTGTGGATATAGTTCCCGGTCCGTCAACACTGCAACGCAAACATTATCCTGGTTATGGGTATGCCCTATGCTCGTGATCGACGGAGGGGAAAAGTGGAGGGCTTGGATGGCAAGTGGAGGGCTTGGATACACTTTTGTCTCTCCGTATCCGGAAAGGGGGAATGACTTATCCTCGATTAGAATTCCTGTTCGATGAGAGACCGTTTCCAGTGTAAATTTATACTGATTGGAACGCTGGGATTCGTTTGCATTCGAATGAGGCTCGCATCAGGACTGGGCTTGGATCGATGCCTTTTGTTCGAAACCGGTGTTAAGAAGTATCTTTGCCAGATTCATTCGCGCAGGATTGGTTCTTTAAATTTGGAAAACGGGGAAAGACGCATTACCGAATCCAGTTTGGTTGTCTGTAAATTAATGCAAGTCCCTTCCAAAGAAATCAGTAGCTTCGCTCTTCATGATGACACAAGGCAGTTTCAGAAATTCGGTAGTTAATTCCAGTCAATCATTTCCTTGTAGGTAAGAACCACTCATGACTTGAGCTGCTCTAACGAACGCAGAATGACGGCTTGCCATTCACTGGCTCTCACATATCGGTGGCTTGCAGGACATTTAAGAGCATAATCCTACAAGTCTATTAGATAATCCTTTTTCAACTGCTGCTTCATATTTCTAAAACCAAGCAATTCCTGTACCCTTGCTTGAGATCGAACTCATACATTCATCGCACATTCATGTATTGCCACCTGAATTGTTCGAAGAACTTCTGCTCTGAATCGTCTTATTCGGGGAGAAAGGGGGGGGGGGGGGGGGGGGGGAGGGGAACAAAAAAAAAACAGACCTTCGGATTCCCTTCTCTCGAGGGAGTCCCTCTCCATGCCTCGTCTTCCTCCCGAGTCCTGTCAACGAGAACAACGAACGATAAATCAAGGATTCCTGACGACCTCGAGGCTCAGCAAGGTGCAATTCACCCACGCAGAGTACTCCTGCAGTCATTCTACTCATTCAAAATTCTCTTGTCGCGGAGCAGAAAGAAAGGAACGAAACGATTACTGATGCCGACAGACACCGAGATTTATTTCTCCGAGTACGTCATTGACCCCATTTTTTCTTCTTGGTCAAACATCGGTGAGTGACTACAATTTAAATTCATGGCGATCCAACCAACGTCCAAAGGCAGTGGAAAAAGAATATGAAAATTTGCTCCCGAGAAGAAGAAAGCTTTATTTTTTTCACTCGACGAGGAGTTTCTGAAGGCAACTTTTTTTTAGCAGATTAGCTTTGACGTTCGCCTGCAGTAGAGTCGGATCTTGATGGTGTCGCGTGCTACTCTCTGCCCTCAACACCCCTCCCCCCCCCCCCCCCCCCCCCCCCCCCTCTGCAGTAGAGTCGGATCTTGATGGTGTCGCGTGCTACCCTCTGCCCTCAACCCCCCCCCCCCCCCCCCTAAAAAAAAAAAACATTCGGAAAGTCGAAAACAGTCTAGGAGTCTCGGCAGACGATACTTATTTGGGGATAAGCTACTGCGGCAAATACATCCCTCGTCGAGGGCTCGTTCTGGAGATTCAGCTCAAATTCCCTTCGCGGTGCCTAGACTTTCTGAGATCCTCATGGATCGAATTTACTCATTACGGGGCCGAGTTCTCATCCACTTTCAATACCTATAAGAAACGACAAAACAAGTGGCGTGGGATGCACCACCTGCACTTTGGAAAAATAACTTTTCACCTTCATGCTCGAATTCATAACGATTTTCAGAGGAACGCGAGGGAACCCTTCCTAAATGTGAAGGCGTTAAAAATACGAAGAGCTAAATTGCTGGATTCCACGAAGTCTTCATCCCACCGTTGGGTGAGTAACTCGTTGAAAGAGTTTCGCAATGCCCTGGACGAATACTGGCCACAGGGCACACGGGGCTTCTTCACCGGGCACTAAAACGACTCCAAGAGTGCGCTCGTTCGGGGATGGTTTCAGACTCGCCCTTGACATCGCGTCAGGCACGAATACGAAGCCGGATAAAAATAAATAGAAACGAACGGGGTGGAGATGAGGATGGAGGATGGCAAGGAGATTCCTTTCGGCTGGGGTGAGAGAGGTGAGTTCGGCGTTGGGGTCCGGGCCGACGGTGACGGCGGGGGCGGTGGAAGAACCACGGCTGCTCCGTCCCCCGGCCTCCTTGTCTCCACCTCCCATCATGCCCATCTTAGCCCTGGGGATGAGGACTGGGGGGATGGTCGTCGTCCCCGGGAGACTCCGATCACCCTCGACGCTTCTTCCGCCTCTGCTGCTACTCCCTCTCTTCCTCCCGATCGAAGGAGGCTGCAGCGTCAAAGGAAAGGAATGTTAAAAAAAAAACACGTTTACCGATTTCACATTCGCGTCAACGCAGTCCGTTATTTGCAGAAATTCTATACGGCTGCGCTGCTTACAATGGCTTCTTCCCCGATCGCAATAAGGCTTCATGGTCGTGCACTAGACGGGTCGAATGGTCAATCTCGCGTGGGCGCAATGACCGTTACAGTTCCTTCGTTTTTGTCATCGTTTCGCCCACGATATGGTGAAAGGGGGCAAGTAGGATGACCGAGATATCAATCCCTCCCTCAGGTCTGATCAAGCCACAGGACGTGGTAGAATGTGTGAAAAATGGCCGTGGAAAATAGTGGATATTCTGACCCGTGTATTGCACTCTATACCAAATGTGTGATCGGAGTGCCATCGAACTCTTCCGTGCAAACGTGAAAAGCTTCTTAGTGAAGCATAAATTCTCATGAAAGTTTGCTTGTGTCGTAATATTGCTCGAGGAAGCAGAGGATCAAATCAAGTCCTAGGGCATGAACAGGCGGTCGAAGAGTTTCCGGATAGAAAAAATGTTTTATTAGGCATGAAAGTTGATGGATTGCATTCACTATCAATATTGACGAGAGCTGTGATGACAGTGAAGGACGTAACAATCCCATAGGATTCTGATGCGTCGGGTGAATTGCGAGATCTTAAAAAAAAAACACTGTTTCACAAATTGATATCGTTGCCAAATTGTGATATTTTTCAATCTGATGAAAATGTAGTTTTCAGATTAAGTTCATCTCGAATGCTTTCGCTGGCGATACACAAAAAAATTTTGATTTTGAACCTAATTGCTGACTGTCTAGAATGCCCCTGAGATGAGTTTCTCGCAGTTCAAAAACCCAGAAATCGGTTGAAACGACAAAAACAAGGTCTCCCATCTCATGTCGAGGTGTTTTAGTTGCGTAGGCTGCCGTGTCCTCAATGATTCATCGGGAGAGTACTGGTGTTGAGATATTTCAGGTTCTTACATGATCCCATTTTGCTCTCGCGTCATCCCAATATGAGATGGCAGGGCATCGTCCGTATTCCGCACTTTAATAATTATTTAGACCGATCCATCCACAGGGCATTTTTGAAACGTCGGGCGTCGAATCGAAATGAATAATTATGGCAGAAAAGAGAGAGAAAGAGAGGAATAGACTCACAGCCATTGCATCATGGATCGTCGGGAAGGAGGATTCAGAGGACGTATCGTGGATCATGGCTCGGCGATCCGGTGCCAGGATCCCCCTGGAATACAATCCCCCTGGGTAACCACCACCGCTAGGGCCTCCTCCTACAGATCTTCCTCCTCTCCCGCTTCTTCCTCCTCTCCCCTCCTTTCTCCTTCTCGCACACATGGCCATGATTGCGATGCACGAGCCCAGGACCAACAGCACTCCGATCGTCACCAGCACGATCAACAGCACTGGGAGGGAACAAACAGACGTACGTCAAAATCACCCCATCCTATTCGAACGAAAAAAAAAAAAATTCATCTCAGTGATTCGTATCGAGTAGTACCTTTCATGTTGAGCTGGCATCTGGCACCGGAGTACCATTCCTGACACTTGCAGGCCGTCCTTCCGTCTCTGGTCGTGTAGCATTCCCCACGATAGTTGCAATGGGAACAGCTGGCAGCGGAATCGGAGCAGACGCGTCCGGGGAGAGCGCGATCCGGGGAGACGTCCGAAAATCCGTCCTTGCAGATGCACGTGAACGTCCCCGGCTTGTTCATGCACATCCCGTTCTCGGAACAATCGTGATGATCTCCGTCCAGACACTCGTCGAAATCTGGAAGCATCGACCGAAAGGACGGGAATGCACGAGCGTCTTCGCACCGAAGCGAGTCGACCGCGAGCGGACCTACCTTCGGCATAGAAGAGCTGAATGATGCTAGGAGACGTCTTGAGAGAGGTTCCACCCAGACTGAAATTGCGGGATTCCACGGCCTGGACCACGTGCTGCCTAAGGATCCCCTCGTCGATGCCCGCCTCAGCCGACACCTAGACCGTGTCAGAAAAAGAAGGATCACACGACTGCATCGTAGGCCGCCATCTGGCTTGCAAAGGGAAACGCTCCGGACCTGGGCGATGAGTTCCACCATCACCCCCTGGACGGGGTCCTTCCCGGGCGAATTGAAAGGCTGGAAGGCGACGATGGAGCTGCCGTGATAATGAGGAGCGAGAGGAGTGTCCTTGATGGCCTTGTCCACCCCGTCTCGAGCCATGAAGGCCAGCTGATTGCTCTCGTCCGAATCCAGTCGATGGAAGGCGTCGCGGAATCGAAGCTTCGCTCCTCCGGCCTCCTCGATCGGTATGGAGACCTTGTACGTTCGCGTCTCTGCTCGCGTAAAACCACATCGCACGGTAAAAATCCACTCTGCAGGGTACGATGGTACCTTGCAGTGAGAACGTTAGTACGGAATGGCCTCGTTCCGTGCAAGTTTTCACCCTCGTCGCTCGCTTTCGAAATCGAGCACGAATTTCGAAATCGGATTACTCCTTCCTTTCTCTAGGGTCTCCATATCCACGACGTTTCTTCCGTTCCGGTTCGGTACTCACGGGAACACGAAAGTACGTCTTTAAGGACTCGGTGACCTCTCTCAAGGCTCTTGCGACCGAACTTACAGACCGATCGAGAGCATAAGTACCGAACCGATTTCAACGAATGAGCTGTCGATGGACCCTACCGACGACCTTACCGAAAATATTGTAAGAAATGCGCCACTAGAGGGCCCAGAACTCCCTCGGTACGGCATTCTTCCTTCTGGCCTCTATTACCGACTCGATACGAAACGATTGGAAGGTCCTGATCATTTGGAACGCAAAGATGAAAGTAGAGCAAAGAAATTACAAACGGAATTCTGACTAACGATATATCGATGGACTGGTATCGTCTATGCCCGACCGTTAGAAATCTCACTTCTTAATGCGGAATTTGGGACGTTGAAGGGCACACCGCTCTAGCGAGACGGAGCAAGGGTTCCGTATTTCTCACCCTTAGTCGAGCCTTAGTTTTAAACACGATCTCCAAGATCACCGACCGTGTACCATTACATCTCCGGGAAGCAATGGACCGAAGTTGATGAATCACAGTGGACTTGGAAATTCTGGCAGGGGAGTAAGTATATAGAATTTTCTGCTCGTTCCTACGCGTGAACGTGAGTTATAAGGGGGGGGGAGGTGAAAATTTGTACCGAAAGGCTCATTCAGCACGACGATTCTCATTACGTAGCTACGAGTGCATAGCTAAAACCTGTCGTCTCCGATGAGAGTGATAGACAGACCTTGGCAGGGTAGATGTGCATGAAGTCGGGAGAATCCGGGTCGACAGACACACCGAGGTCGGTTATCGTGTTCCGCAGCCCGACACACTTCCTGGCTCCCGCATCCCGGATTGCAGACGGCCGGGACGGTGGGTTGTTCCACCGACAGTCCCCGATCCGGTGAAACTCCTCCCACGCCGCCCAGGATCACTCGATTCACTTCGTTCGTCTCCTCCACGCCTTCGAGACGACAAAAGAATCCGGTTCATCGAGGTGATTCCACCTTTAATCGTGCCGTGTTCACGCGGGTCATATAATCACAAAGAAGAAACGATGAGGTAGGGGAGTTCTTGTCATCGTTAAGGCCGTCATGGCTTCTTCGCTCGTTAGGACCGGCTGAGAATCTCTGCTATCTACTTTTTTCATTCCAAATAAGAATGGATGGAAGGGGAAAACCTCTCGAGGTAAACGATTCCTCCGCAATCGCAACGAGGCTTTTTTTTCTGCTTTTATCTTAAATTTCTAAAAGCCTCTGAAAGTGCTCAGCATCGAGTACCAGATCGGCTATACAACGACTCGCAAAATAATTCCTTGGCTGGATGCGTGCTTCATCTCTCACCTCCTTGGATGCACCAGATACGTACCTTACATTATGTCAAACATGGTAAGAATTGATTTAGCAGAGCACCGTAAGTGCAGAAGGCCAAAAGTGCATCTTCGGAACCTCAAAGGTTATCAAAATGAAGTGTTTGGGTGCTCATGGGTAACTGCATATCGGTCGGGCGAGTCACAAATAAAGCAAAAAAATTAAGGAGGAAGAGTGGAATAATAGACGACTTGGAAGTCGAACGGTGACAGGCATTGCAATCTAATTTCTACTCTAGTACGAATGCTTACGAGAATTCGTCTACGTGTACATGAAGACATTAAAGTGGCGGAATCCGTGAACGATGGATGGAATGGAATATGAGGAACCTTTGAGGATCTCGTTGGCAGAGGCGTGATCCTGACGATCGTGATCCCGGAGGGAAGGATTTTGAGGAACGGCCGTGACGACGAACACCTCTTCGGTGCTCTCGTCGACGGTTTCAGACTGACTCTTGGTGACGTCCCTGTGGGTGTCGGCATCCACGAAATTCACTTCCGTGCTGGCGCCGACGACGGTGGAGATGAGGACTCGAGGGGGGACGGTCTTGGTGATCACTTCCGTCTTGGTGAAGGGTCTTCCTTGGACGTAGTAGACGTTCGTTTCCGTGGCTGTCACCGTTCTCGTCACCGTCTCGGTCCTGGTGATGAATTTCGTGGACACCTTGCCGGGTCCGACCACGACTTCCGTGACGCCACTGGCCTCACCCGATCGCGTCGGGAAGATCTCGTCGTCGTCGTAGCCTTCGTAGTCGAAGCCGTCTTCCTTGTCCGAGAGGCCTCCGAAAATGGTGGTGGTGCCCGTTTCGATGCGGGCCGAGGACGAAGACGAGGAGGAGGTGCGGGTGAGAGTGGGGGCGGTGGGTATGGGACCGACGGGTTTCCGAGATGGGGGTTCCGTGGTCGTGGCACTGCTTTCGATATGGATTTCATCCTCTGTTCCGTATTCCTCGTAGTCTCCTTCGTACTCTTCTTTTACGTCGTCGGTGGGGATTTCCGAGCTCACGACGGGTCTCGGGGGTGGCCTCGCGACGCCCACCCCGTCTTTGATGATGTGCGTCGCCACGATTCGATTGTCTCCATCCAAAGACAAAACCGTCTGTTCCGATGGCCATTGGATGCTCGGCCTTCTCCTATGAGGAGGAGGAGTAGGAGGAGGCGAAGGAGGTCGGATCGGGATGCGAACCGGCCCTTCGTCTGGGTCTCTCGGGGGGAACAACGGTGAGGGTCGTTGCGAAGGCCGTGGACGAGGGGTCCGGATCTCTTGGGTGGAGGTCGGTCTGATTCCCTGGAAGTTGACGGCCGGTTCAGAAGATGGCTTTCGTTGCGAGTCTTCGGGTTTAGAGTCGAAAAACACGGTCTCCGTCCCTGAAACCACGCTCACCCAGTCGGGTCTCCTTTCGTTTGACAAGGCCGTAAAGCCTGTTTCCAAGCGAGGAGGACCTGACTCCACCCGAATCGGTTTACCGAAGTGGATCGGGATCGGTCGACCTGGTAAGTCGGTGATCGGGCGGCCCAGTTGGATGGGGATCGCCACAGGTTCTTTCCCTGGCTCTCCGTCCGGTTTTCCAAAGACGATATTCGAGCCTCCAGGTTGATGGAAGAGAACTTGACCGGGTCGGATGGGGACCTCGCCGGGGCGATGGGTTGGGGCAGGTCGAGGTCGAGTCAGTGGTCTCGGTGGGGCAGGTGGTCGTAAACCTTGTATCCTCTCTGTGCCGATGGGTTTTCTGAATGTGGCTTCATCTGGTTCTCCGTGCAATGGAATGAACACGGGTCCGTCCTGATCTCTGTCCTCGTCTTCCTCGTTCGGTCTTCGGAGACTCGCTCCTAGTCCTCCGACCGGGATGTAAATCGGTTCCCTGGGTTTCCCGGCCGGGAGAGGTGGGCGACGTGGTCGATTTCGTCGATTCGTGTTCGTGTCGTTCCGTTTCAATACCGGCAGACGTGGGTGGAAATTCCCGGTATGCTTGAATTTATCGTGTTGGAAGTTTCCAGAATCGTGATCGCCTGCTTCATCGTCGTCCACGGTCCGGGTGAAAAAACCGCTGACTCGATCCAGGATGGGTCCAAGGTTGATATCCAATCCGCTCACCGCCTGAGCACCTGTGGTCCCAGCTGCCAGGGCACCTGCCAGTGCACCCAGATTCATCAAATTCGAGAAGATACTCGAACCGCCGCCGGCAGCCGGAGGGGGATTCGCTGCATTTGTCACCACGGTTGGGACTTGAGCTGCTGGCTGTACAAACGACGGCTGTGGCCTCTGGTTATTATTGTTACTGCTGGTGCTCGAGCTCGTGCTAGTGCTCGTGCTGGTGGAGACGGAAACCGCTTCATTCACTCCCAATGGTCCTGTCCCAGCTACTGTTCCTTGAGGGTCGACAACTACGTCCCCTGTCACTCCAGGGTCACCACCTACTACTAAATCAGGATCAACATCTGGACTTCCCGTACCATCTCCATTACCTCCTCCTAAGATATTGTTGCTACCGAGTCCTCCCAGAGGACCAAAAATGCTTTCGGAAGCATTGAGGTCTTGTTGCGTCGTACCCGTCACCCCTTCATCCGTGCTGGGGGTCGTCGATCCGGTTTCTAAGGGAAACACGCTGGTGGTGCCGTCCACGTTAGTCACGATCAACAGGATATCCCCAGGCTGATATACGGTTTCCTGGCCGCTGATGGCCGTCACCGTCACGGGCTGCGTCAGCTGGATCGTCGTCTTTTGAGGGAAGTATATGATGGTGGATCCAGTGATGACAGTAGAACTCGTGTGATCCTCGGCGGCCTCGAGGGAACTGACGAAGGAAGACTTGAGACTGCTCAAGTGCACGTCCTTGTCATGTATAGCAGCAGTAGGCCCAAACGGATCAGAGGGTTTTGTCGGTTGAATGACTCCCACTTGACTCGAATGGGGCAAGGAGTCGATGACGACTGCATTGGATGGTATGGATGCCAGGGTCAAGGTATCGGTGAGGAATTTTGTGTGAACGGTCTCTAGGGTCTTCAAGTAACCGTCTTCGTTCTGGGTCACCGTCGTGAAGGTGGCATAGAAGGTCCTGAGACTTGCAAACAACCCCGGTGGACCCAGTCGGAAATAGGTGATGGTTTTCGCAGGGGGATCACGGTCTGCGGTGATCACGGGTGTCTCAGTCCCAACGATCAACGTCTCCCCGTTCACAGTGGCAGTGATCGGAGATCCCTTCTCGGCGAACAAAGAGCTTCTCAATGCGTCCACATACGAGGATTCGACGGCATCCGTCAATGGTTCCACGACGGAACTCGACGACACGTCCAGGCTCGTCACCGTCTTCGTCTTCCCGTTATCCAAAATGGTGGAAAGGTAGGTGTAGGAGGTATAGTAGACCCTCGTGACCAGAATCTCTGGTTCCCCGTCGGCATCTAAAGAGGATTCCAACGTCGGGGTTGACGAGAACCAGGCAGATGGTCCCACTTCCATGTCCTCCTTGATGACTTCGGAACTGACCACGACGTCGCTGTTGACCACGGTCTTCCCATCGACCACGGCCGTGGTCAAGTAAGTGTAAGTAGTGAAATAGGTCTTCTGGACTTGCATAGTTGCCACGGGAGGGAGATTTTGGACCTCGGTGACCACGACCTGGGTGACGACCTCCTCCTTCGACAGCACTTCCTCTTTCCCTTCGTCCGTCACCGTCTTGTAGAAGACGAACGTGTTGAAATACGTCTGCGTGTCCGGAGCAGTGGAAGTCGGAGTGATGAGTTCCTTGTTTAGCGGATCTCTGGCGATGGTCTCGATGTTAGATAGCGTCTCGGTGGAACTCAAAACCAGGGGCGTCTCGCCGTAAGATAGCGTATTGTAATAAGTGAACCTCGTCACTAGCGTCCGGATGGAATAGAGGTCATCAGAGAACCCAGGCGTGAGGGTCACGATGGCCGTAACGCTCGGTGTGTGATCGAACGAGGAAAGATGATCCGCTTCTTGGGTTACCACGTTCGAAATCACCTCTGTCCGAGATATGTAACTGTCCGATGCCACGTTCGTGTAATACGTCACCGTCGTGTAGTAGATCTTTTCCACAAACTCCGGTTTCGCCGATCGCAGAAAGTTTGCAAACTGGACAAATAAGAAAAAAAAAACATTTCGTTAGCTCACGATATTATTTTTGTAGTATCTGAAATTGAGGATTGTGTTTCTCCGTAGTAAGTCGAAGTATGACGACGGGACTCGGCCAGGAATAAGGGATTTTTTTTTCAGCATCTCGAGGTGTTGCCGGTTTTCTTTTCAAGTGTATACAGGACTGGTGACTGCTTCGGTTCAGCACTTTTACTACCGAGTAAAGTCTAGTGGGAATTGTATGCTGCCTGTTACATTTGCCGGGGTGAAGCTCCATACTGCACTCTGTCGAACAACGTTATTCGATTTGCTACCACGGTAAGCCGGAAGTGCCGTCAGTAATAGAAACCCACTCGGGGAAACATTTTAGAATGTGTTCCTCACTCACCTTTCACATTTAGGCTTTCGCACACTGGAGTACAGATACCGAGAATCAGAAGGTTCAACTCTTGCGCTCCCTTCTACTTACGGTTTTCAGTGCCTTCAAGTGTCCAGGGGTGGAAGCGTAGGTTTAACTTCTTTCAACGCTTTCTTTTGCGAGTTTTTACCACTGATGTCACGCAGATTATGGTGGAATGCGAAAAGAACTAAACTGTCACCAAAGGTAAACAGTATTTTAGTCAAAACTATTATACATCTATGCGTAAAACCTTAGAATGCAACAAGATATAAGATATCCATTTCTAATCTTGCATCTTTCATTTGCAGTTTCATTTCAGGTTTCATTAACAGGGAAATTCCTGGGGGTTACTGCCATTCCTTTTTTTTTAATTCTACGTGTCAAATGATTCGACCTAGAAAAACATGCCATGGCAGATTTTTTCTGCAGATTTTTCTGGGCTGTTGATGCATTCGTTAAGAGCGTCTGGCGGTTCCAGGGCGACTTTACTCAAGTGCAACTTCAAGTTCCTCTCTCACTGCTTTGCATATTCAATTCATGTTTGCTTTCTCGAATGCGATGGAACGATTATAGTTATAAAGTCCCCATCCGGGATTTCTGGAAAGGTCTTCGTGATATGGAGAAATACAGAGTCGTATACAGAAACGAAATTTTACCTCGGGTCGGCGAGTGGGGAGAGCCATTTGGAGTTCGTCGAAGACGTACGCCGGATCTGCACTGTCATCGTTGGCTAAGGCATTCTTATCTGTTGGATATAAGAAAATTAAAAGTCAGAGTTGCAGGGAGGATTCAAGAATATGTGCTTCTTAAGGTTCTGAGTTCTAGAAGCACAAGCTAGAAATTACTTTCTGGAGATTGCCGAGAACTTGTACGAATTGCGTGATGACGTCATCATAGCCGGTAGGATGATAAAAATGGCACATAAAAAAATTGGAGGACACAATTGGAAGCCTTTCATACGTGAAGGTCATTGGATATCCATTAGTTACCCCTCTTGGCTACATTCAACCCTGAGGATCTGCTTCAATAAGGGAGAACTTGGCTAGTTCTTTCAATCAAAAATTTTTTTCGAAGCAGAAAAAATTTTAAATAGAAATGCATGCAAATGAGACCCACCAAAATGGATTGCAATTGGAGTGGAAAGGGAAAAGGATTGCAAAAGGCACCATTGATCATTTCCACATGAACCTTTAGCGTTTTTAATCTGAAAATAATTAAGACTGTGCGGTGAAGTTCTACTTGTGGGAGATATCGAGGAGCACATTGAACAATATACTAAATAACTTTTATGAGTTTTAAGGCGCAGCAACGAGACGCAACTCGTAAATTCTTGAAGTATAAAAATATAAAATACCTGCGTATCCTTGGTGCCCCACCCTCCCCTACAGAAATGAAAGCCGGTTCGGCCTGTTTGTTTTTTTTTTACGATGGACGGGGAGCTGGATTGCATCCAGACGGACGAAGTCCCTTTAGAAGCACTCGAGTTTATCATGGGAAATATATCAGCTGAGACTGTTACAGCAGTGAGACCGACTGGACCGATTGAAAGCAATGAAACCAGTTCACGAGACCAGTTGGTATTTTTACCTTTGTCCTACATTTTAGTTGAGAACTATTTCTTTTGTTCCCATTATTTCACCAACATTAGCGATATACAGTATGTCCCCTGCATCAGGCAGAGAAAATCAATTTTAATGCAATGTCAATCGGTTTCAAATTACTCCCGATTGGGACACATTGTAATAGACCTTGGACAAGTCGTTACAGCCTCGCTCACACTTCACTTTCCTCGCCTTTATTCATCCTTTTCACTATCCGAGTTCCAGAGACCAATTCTCAAAGCAAATCGCAGACATCTTGCCCGACTGAAGCCATAGTCAAGAGCAACAGATCGACGAATCTTCGAACGACGACGTTCATCATGTCGTATGTGGTTTAACTTACTTTTATTTCTACAGTTCTCATTACTTTTGTCACAATGAGAAAACCTGGCGCATTGGAATGTATAATTCAAGAGACCAAAATTTAGAACCGAGTCATTACATGTTCTAACAACATGCCATGAAAGCATGCCGTAGTTTCTATTCACAAGATCTACTCTCGTTCTTCATCCGCGAGATTTGGGTTCACGTTTTCACCAACTCTTATGTGTTAATACGAAAACAGAAACTAGCAGATGTCTCGCCGCCTTCGAGTCGCGTCAGGAAATACATTATAACCGCGTAGTGACCCGCATTCCCTCAATACCTGGCCAAAATATCGAGTAAGCCGACCTCTTTAGGGAAGTGAAGGGTCGGTTAAGAGTCAGACTCGGAAGATCGGGTCCCTCCAGTGGGCTCCGAGGAGGAGCAGTGCGGCACACCGATTTCACGTCATTTTGCTCCATTCAATCGGATACGAACGGTGTTGTGCTGAGAGTTATTTCGAAATTAACATCCGGGGAGAGGGAACTATGAACTTTTGAAGCCGTGCTTTTAGGGTCGGAAGGCTGCTGTCAGTTTCCGACACCTTTCCCATACAGCTTCCCACCCTCACAACTCACGTTCACGCACTCACCTCGTAAGTGGCACGCTTCGTCATCGATCAAGTACTTTCAGATCTCCAAAAGTACCGAATGAAAACGCATGTTGCTGCGCCAACTTAGACATCTTGAAAAAGAATAAGTGTGTCAAATACGAAGTGAAGGCGTCAGGGCACAGCGTGAGTTCTGAGAATAGAACCTTGTAACAAAAGTGGCCTGGTGAACTCCGGCCGAAAGAAAATCTAGCGTGAAAGTCGGCGCGATGGCCCCTACTACTCTACTTCCCGCCCCTTGACGACGATCATTACATGTCCACAATTTCAGAACGATCCAACATAGAGCCGCAGCCAGAATAATAAAAATCGAATTGGTCTGGCAATTTGACGAACGGATAGAAGAAAGAAAATTGATCATATCGACAATTCACAGCTGCTCTGTAGAGACAAGCAACGATATTCTTTTTTCGTTGACAGTAGAAGGAGGATGGACGAGAAAAAGGAACATACCCATGACGATGACTTCCACTCCGTTCTTGAAGACCTTGGTCTTCAAGCCCAAATCATCTTCCCGTCTTGCACTCGGTCGCCGAACCACTGCTGCTCGTCATCAAAGCAATGCAAGCGTACCATCAGTCATACATTCATGAGTTACGTACTTTTCGATTATTTTTATGCGTATGGATTGTGACAGTAAGCTGACATATCGAGAGCAATGTTTGCAATGATAAATTCTGCCCTTCGTGGCTGGCAGGCATTCCTTCATCGGCACCAAAATGATATAATGACCTCTAATGTGTCTGAGAATTATGCTGCTGATTTTCTTCATTAAAGCACAAAAATTCTGTTCAGAATCGGAAAAGTCTGCTATCCGATGCATACTCATTACCGATGATTAAATGCATCGGATGCGTTCCTGAATTCCTTGAGCGTCGAGCAAGAAACGGTTTGCATTGTGAAAATATTCGGTGACTCGCATTCTGTGATGCATCGGCTTCTTGTATGTCATTTATGAGTAATAGCATTGTCCTCTGAACAGATCATGCAGGCTTCAATGGTCCCTGTGGCTTTCAATATTCAGCGTAAATTTTGTTCTGCTGGCATCTAACGGGAACCAAGCGAGTGAGTCAAATCTAAGCATTGAGTGTTGAAATACATGCGGTCACGTCGAAATGTGATGATTTCATGGCTTGCTTGGGTAGCCTTTCCAAAATTTTCATTATATTAAAAGTTCGTTTGAATGCCATCTTGCGAGCAATGGAAAAAGAAAAGGAGTTGCTACACTTGCTCTCAGGTTCTGTACCTTGACCTTGATTCTAAAGAGAAACGGTATTTGTGAGGGGACCAGGAGACGATATTGGTTCGAAGATTAATAATATGAATTTGAGCACTTCTTTCGCCATTCGTAATCTATCTTCCCTTGCCAGGGGCATTCCATGAAATTGCACGAATCAGAGGAAGGGAAACATCGACGCAAGGACTTTTCCCAGGATTACTGGAAAATCCAAATAATACCAGGAGACATTGCAGAAATTGTAGCCATAGGTAATTTTATAAATAAGTTTGCGATGCGCTTTCCTGATGGGTGTACAAACGAACGCACTAATGAACTCACATAAGTTCCAGTCAATGCTTAAAAATTAGTTTGAGAGCATGTTCCGCGTTTCTTCATGGGCGCGTGGATTTTGACTCGTATCCCTCTTCTCTTTTGTCTTTCCTTCTTGATCTCTTTCTTAAAAAAGAAAGTAGACTGGAACGGACGGACGGACAAGGACAAATGCCACAACCGGCCGAACGTATAGGAGAGAGAGGGCGATCCTTTATCGGACATCCTTGACGGGATTGCCACACATTCTCACGCTCTCTTATCCTGTATCCCGTTTTCACGGGCCGAGGGAACATGATGGCAACTTTGATGGCGCTCGGGAACTAGGCCCATACTGCGCATCGGAGCGTTTAGGCCGACTTTGCGGGTGCGATCGAAGAGCACCTAACCCTTACCTATCACACCATGGAGCACAGAACGGCCTATGCCCAAGGGAGAGCAGGTGATGCCCGGAAGCAACCGGGCGAACTGTCGGCCCAAGAGAATATCTATGCCGTCAGTCGGATTCGAGCCTGCACCTCCCGTGTACTGGCCTGGTACTCTATCCATTGAGCTACGACGATGCGGTATTCTTGATCTGGCTCTCAAAATTTTTCCTTGCCGGGATGAACTTGCTAGTCAAATTTCTCTCTGGTTGGTAGGGATATTCATAAAATACATGAAGATAGCGACTCGGGCACAGGGTTTCTTACTCTCGAGAATAATCAAACAATGTCAATAGGTGAGGTTTCTGCTTAAACCACTGGATAACACCAATTTTATGCGATAGGCCAAATCTGGGGTTAGTTTTTTTCTATTTCCTTTATGTTACTGTGAATCTCAAAATTATTAGGGTTTTGTAATCGTCGGTAATGGGAAGACCTACATGACAGCTTTACACGCTATTCCTAGAATCAACGGTTCCAGTTACCTCGTAAAAACTGACAAGATGAACAAAATTATTCGCTATAGGAAAGGATGAAATTGACATGTAGAGAAAATAAGATGCTCTAACGTACCAAAGTCTCCTCCAAGAGAACTCTCCAAGAAGATTTCCCTCGCTGTAACAACCATTTAAGGAAGATTTTACAAAATATTCACAACTTCAAAATACTGTACACGACGAATTCAAGTCAACAATCCTGTTCCGATCGCTCCTTTACACGGAAGTAATTTTACTTCTTATGACACTGACTTCGCTGCAATTAATGGGTAATATAATTTACAAAATCATCCAAAGTCTTGACTGTTCTGTCAATGATCGTGTTCTTTTCGAACGTCGTTTAGACTCCTTGATAGATTGAATATAAATGTAAAACGAGTGTGCGATCGAAAAAGGATTATTCATTGCGGATCAATCGAGAAAACAGCGAAAGAAGGTGAGAAAAGGAATGAAGGTGAGAAAAGCGACAGTCGTGAGAAGACGGTGACGATTTTCCACTTTGGGAATTCAGAGGACAGTGAAGGAAGATGGGAAAAGCAGAAAGACGAGAGACAGAGAGCGAAGGAACTCACATTCGAGTTTTCGGGTCACAGTTCGGGTAGAGTATTCCAGGCTGGTCTGATATTCCGTGGAAACCACGGTCTCATCCCCTGCTACCCTGGTCACCACCAAGGAATTTCTCACCGTTTTCGTGTCTGTGACCAGCTGGGTGACGTACTGCCTACCCTGACTGTGACTGGAACTTTGATCTTCCTGGGACCCCTCCAACGGGACATCTGTTCCTTCGAGATCGTCATCCGAAGGTGCTCGGGTGCTTTGGATCACAGGTGTGGCCTGGACCTTGGAAGCTCGAATGAGACTCTGCAGTTCTTCGGGTTTCACCGTCGTCAAAGTGGATGTGAGCACGGTCAAGGATATCACTTGAGTCCCCCTAACCGGCAACGACAACGTGGTCGTGAAACTGTGCCATATCACCGTCTCTTCGTCTTTCACCTTGCCTTCTTCGCCTTCCACGGCGCTGCCTCGGGGTCTCAAAAATACGGGGATGCTACGGCTGAAGGTTCTACTTCTGGGGAGGAACTGCTTGGACGGAGACAAAACTCGGGTGTTGGTTCGATATCGGGACAGACGAGCCAAGAAATTGCTGGTTCGGGTCGTTATGCTAAATCGTGTGGGACGGATCAGGCTTGGCTTGGACCTGATTGGACTCGTCGTAATGGACGACGTCTCCTCTTCGTCGTTCTCAACTGCTGCATCTTCCTCTTCTGGATATTCATATTCGTCATAGGCAGTTTCAGGGTCCTCCTTCGGAGTGATGGAAATCCGAGTTTGAGCGACCCTGGATCTGCTACTCTGCTGAGGTCGCTGAATCTCTCTCAGGGGTTGACGATAGACCGTGTTGATAGGATCTTTCTTCGGTTTCCTCACCGGGGATGGATTGATCGCATCTGAGATACTTTCACCCTTCGATTCGACCTGAGATTGCTTCCCTTCGTGGATGGGAAGGGTCTGTCCTTGGGGATCTCCGAATCGGACGTAGGTGGTAGAGGCGAGATTGACATCCGTCGTGATACCATCCCTCACCCTTTCACCGAGATTCACCACGCTTTTCCCTTCTTGAAAGAGATAGACACCATCCCCATCCCGACTTGTGGAGAACCCTTCCTTCAGAGGCAGGGAGTTCCTGAACAGCTTGGAGACAGTGACTCGCCTCGTAGAATACGAGACGTCTCCGCCCTTATAAATGGTATGAATGTAATTCAGAAGGGTATAATGGACTCGGATGAGGTCGCCGGGGAGTTCATGAGACAGGCCGTCTTCGATCACTGGAGTTGCCTCTAGATCCCCTTCGTCCTTTTCCTTTGATTGGAAGTGATTCTCAGAAATAGGTCTCCTGCGGTGTGTTTCCACGGCTCTTCCTCGTATGGGGAGTGCGGATGATGGTCGACTTCGTACCTGTTGGGACAAGGGGTCTCTATCTCGTTCTTGACTTTCAGGGACTTTGGTGGATGTTGTCT